GAGTCATTTTGAGATTGCATTTAGTCATCACCACCCATATCAGAAGGAGAGAATTTCAAGTTCGGCCAACATGTGCCCATTTGACTACCATAGGACATGAGTCAGGGGCTCACATGTGGCCTACTTGATTTGTGGTCCATCCCATACACTAGAGCATGTGGGCACGTGCCCGGTTAAAGAGAAACTGATTGCGACGCCAATGTGATTCCAATGATGTAAAACGCCACATAAGTTGAATAGACTAAACTACTAAGCATAGCAATTCACCTCCATATAGAGCATTAGAGAATGAATTAAAATGCTACTTCGGCAATTTTTAGGCTTTAGTAGAGAAAGGAAAAGAAAAAAGACGGTTGATGAGTTTGGTTCTATTTTAACAAGAGTGAAGACCCTGGATTATTTTAGCATAATGTTGAGAATCTCTCAATTCTCATTTTAACAAAAGTGAGGACCCTCATTTATTATTCTTTTTCAGAGATAGATATTTGACTGATACTTTTTTTTAACAAAGAAAGCAATTCTAATTATACACCAAATGTTCGTAGGAAGCCAAATTCTAAAAGGAGTGAAAAATGGAAAGTTACATCAAAAATTTGAGGGAAACAAACACCTGAAAGGAGTGAAAAAAAAAAACTAAAGAAAATAAAAAGCTCTGAAAAAATTAGCACTCTTGGCAAAGGCCAAATCAAGCATACAAACAAAGACCCTTGAAAAGAGAAATCGTGAACCAACAAAGATATTTTATTGATAATATTTCCACCCATGAGTTTAGCTATAATTAAATTATCAAGTAGTTCATATCTTAATTAATACTTCAGAAAGGGATTTCCCAAGGATGTCCATCTTTCCTTGGTAGTAATCCAAAGTTTTGGTTCTCGTGTATGAGTGCAACAAGCATACTTTGGTTGACTTTTTTCCCCCATGAACAACAATATCAATTACACAGGACACATCAACTCAATGGATGCCAATAAATACTAACCATACATATTCTTAAGGCCACAAAAAAAAAGGTGGAATTGAACAAGTACCTGATTGATTGCTTCAGATAGAACTGTTGTAGTTAAATCCATGCTACTTTCATGAGACACATCCTCACGTGAACCAGGCCACCAAACCGAGGGCATCATATACTCAAGATCCTGCTTATTTGGATTCTTCCGTGATAAAAAACCTTCGAAGAGGAATTCAAAATCAACTGACTTCCACCAAAGAACCATTAATTCTTCTCGTCTGAAGATGTGACAAGCCAATGCAAGATAGGAATAGGATCCAGAATATGGGCACTCAGTTAAAACTAGCGGTGATGTCTTACAGCTACATGAAAGGGCGTTAATTAAATGCTCAAATAATGCTAGGGAGCCTTGACATCTTAGGAGGACATCAATAATTCTATCTAAGCTTGAGTGATTGTGTGGTGGCTGTGGTCCAAACACTTCCATCATGAACGACAAAAAAGAGCCCCATCCAATATACTCAATACCATCTGCATCAGCTTCAAGTGCAGAGAAGAATTCGTCACAAATCCCAATAGAGACAGGATGAAATAGTTCTTCAACTGAAACAAACCTTTTCAGTCTCCTCAGTTTCTCAACAGAGTTAATCTCAAGGCATTCTATACGTTTCTCTTCCAATATCTTCAACAAGCATTTCAGCATATGGGAAGCAAAACTGTTTACCGATGGGGGTGCTTGAAGGGGGAAGTAGCCATCAATAGGGTATTTAAAGGGGTGAGCGCCAAAATTTATTTCACATCTCTCCCCTTGAGATAGAGATATTGCTGGAAAATATCCAATACCAGGACCCATTTTGCGGATCCCAGAAAATGCCACCCCAAGTGAGATGCCATTCCTATAGAACGAGATTTCATTTCTATCCAAATCAATACAACATCCAATGACATCACCAACAACCCAAGACTGACCATACCTCTCAGCTTCCTTATTCCATTTGCGAACTCTTCTCCCATCAAAAGCATAGGAATCATCTGCGTCACCAACACCCTCGTGGTCAGTGAAAGGGCAAGCAAGAGTTGCCCATCCAAGCTGTTGTATGCCTGAAGTTTCTAAAATAACTTCGTACATCCATTTTCCACTCCAGACACAAGCATTAGCCCTAGCACTGCTGAACATCGAAAAACTTTCTACAAGTGATGGCGGCTTAACTATCCTAATATCACCACAGATGCTAACTTTCTCGATACAGACTATATTGGATCCCAAGCCATTATCAACAATACATATGCCATTTCCCACGCCAGAGGAAGCAATTGGATGAGCAAGTTCGGAGAATCTATTCTTTATGATAGAACGAATAAAAGCCGTATCAATTGGACTAGTCACAGAATCAATGGATTTGTTGGGGAGACCAAATACATATTCAAGAGTCCGTTCCACAGATTGATGATTGAATTCATCACAATAAGAAAAACACCGGCCTTTTGATGAACTCCCTCTGTTATCATTATCATTTAAAATAACAGCCAATCCAGAAGAAATCCCACCAATCCTTGGACTGTCTTCTGCCATATGCTAGTAGAAAAGCTAGATATTCCAATTCCAGGCAGAGACGGGAAATGATGATGAAAAAATCACAAATCAGGATACGGATCCGGGGCAGCCTAGTAGGCTTCCAAATATATTAACCCATTCCAACTAACCCAAAATTCTGAAAGACAGGCATCGCCGCGACCCTGAAGTATTTAACTAAATTAATTTTTTGAAGAAAAAAAAATACAATTTCAACACCAAACATCAAGGGTAGAATTCCACATCTCGATTCATGAAAAGGCAAATATCAAATATTGAACAAGTGATCCCTGAAACTACCACTTACGAAGCTACCGTTTACACATAAATATCCCAAATACAAGCACACATAATGCAATTCTGTGTAACATCTCTTTATCCATCCAAAATTTGGACGACATCAAAATAACTCCAAATAACTGGAACTAAAGAGAAAGAACCGAAACTCGAAAAGACTACTTTAGAAGCTTTGAAAGTGCCCATTTCTGCGTAACCGGAATCACGATGTGGCAGAATTTATTGCCATCGTGGCTGCCAAACCGCGATATAATTGCCAGCAAAAAAGAGCATACCGCTACGACACGAATTTCAGGAAAAACGAAACGCAAGCAAGCTATTACAAGTCCAACTTACAAAATCAAAACACGCAAAGAAGTTGGGGAAAACAGAAAGAAAGAAAGGGAAACTTACAGGTTATGAGATTTCAGTTATTTGTGGTATGGTGCAACAGTGGAGGCGGCGGAGACATGGCAGAAGGGGCAAAGTCGTTGAAGTGGAAATTTGATTGGACCGAGAGAGAGACGCAGAGAGAGAGATTTTGCGAAAAAATTGTGCCAAAAAGTCAGGGAGGAGAGGGAACCACACAGACTGACCAAAGCAGCTGCCTCGAACCAGAGAACGCCGACTCGGAACCCTAATATGGGAAAAAAGGATGACACGTGTCGATATGTGCCCCATGATGACGTGGCCAGTACAGCAAAATCACGCGCGAATTCACTCACGGTCACGGTCACAGGCGCCATCGTACTGTGTGCCTCCGTCGACGTCTTCTAACCCGAACCTTCGTTTGCCGTTAAAATCGCTCGCTACCTAAATCCGGACCTGAATATGAATAATTGTATACGTGGCCCAACTGCATTGGTGGAAATGACTCCTTGATAAATTTTGTTCTTTTATTAGGAAAAGCAAAACAGTTTTTTTATCCTTCCAACTCAACTAATTAATTTTTTTCATTTAAAAAAAAAAAGAAATTATATATTTTATCAATTTTCAAATTTGGACAAAATGCACTACGCTACGCTATGTTAAGCAAGAAGTGGAAATAATTTAGAAAAATTATGTAAAATAAATTAACTACGAATTTAATACTTTTTCACGAAATATTCCTAAAATCATTTTTGCTAAGAATTTGTTGCATGTAACGCCGCAGAGATGGGGGAGGGGCAGAATGAGCGCCACGTGTATGGAACATTCAGAAGCCTCAATTTTGGGCCCCTACGTGACGTGTTGTGAGCACGCGTATTTTAATTTTTTTTTTAAAATTTTATACCATTTTCAACCGCAACAAAAAAGGAAGTCAACGCAATTTTTCAGTAAATTTTATAAATGAAATACACGGTGAAAACGATGTATCGGGTACTCTTGCCATTTCTCAAACAAAAATAATCTTTTTTTAATTAAAAAAATATATTTGTTTAATAATTTAACTGTTATTGTGGTAGTCAATTCTTTTTCTTATAATAATAATAAATAATTTTTGGAAAAGGACCAATAATATCTTTGTACGCTGTCCTGAAATGAAAATAACTTTTGGAATATTAATAATGGAATCTGTATGTGCATGTTGTCCATGTGTTGTGTTTGTCCATATTCATAAACCAACCTAATGAACTTTAAATGAAGATCCCACACCCTGGATTTTGAAATTAGAACAAGAAATGAGCATCTTCCGCCCTTCCTCGCCTCCTATCAGCCCATACCCACACTTAAAAAGTTCACTCAAGCAACAAATGAGAATGGCTAGGTTGATAGCAGGGTTAAAGAAAAGAGATAAGTGTGAAAAAGTGCATCGCATCACCGTCTCTGTAAACAGCTTTTCATCTTTTCTTGATCTATGAACCGATTGGTTCGGGGGAAATGGAGATGTGCTTTTCATTCACCACATAGTTCCTAATACCACCCCATACTACAACATATTGGATGACTAGACCATTCTTTTCACTAACTCACCCTTCTATCAGTCTTTCCAACTTCTAAATTGGTGGCTGGGGATTCAAATTCTAATGAATACAAAATCAAATGGAAAATTATTACCTAAGCTCCCCACTCCGCATATGTTCATTTCTAAAACTCAAGAAAAAAAAGGCCACAATTAGGCTGAGGAGGAATAGGGGATGGGACAAAATTTGGAAGTTATCTACAAAACCAATCTTAAGAGACTAGCCTGCCCCAGCCTTGGCTGGCATGCTTCCATCCAAAATATTGCGGAAAATATAACCATGTTAACACTAACAATAAGAAATGTTACACATTAACATCACTAAGTCCATTGGGTAGGTGATATCTCTAAACGAGCACTTGATGTACCAAGAGACGAAAGCTAGCTACATACAGCGCAGGAAAAGATGAACGGGAAGGATGAAGAGTGCGTGTTACATACAACGTGAGAAAAAGGTCTGCCCCATGTAACCCCCAGCCATAGCCCTTCTCACATTGGATTCAAACAACTTGGGATTGTCCCTTAAAACTGCAGCAGCATCGTGATTCAGTGGGTCCTCATCATTTGGTTCCTGGTACAAATATTAAAAATAAAAAATAAAAAAAATAAAAAAAAAACAGGGTAAGAAGACAACTCATGATGTTAAAAATTCACTAAACTGCAGCCTTCTACAAATCTGGCTAATCTGTACCGTGAACAGATGGTAGAGTCCATAAATAACAGTGTTAATATTGAGAACAGGCTTCCAATCCTCCCGCAATATGTTGAGGCACACATTTCCTTCCAAGTCAATGTTCGGATGGTAAACCTGCATAAAGTGTAAATAATTACCATACGGAGAAAATTTCCTCTGTACTCGAGGGATCAAATTCTATGGGTAAGGAGCCATCCAGGTTTACCTTTGTCTTGCATTTGACTTTAGGTGCTTCATGCGGATAGATGGGGGAAACTGTAAAGGAGAAAAAAAATGTGCCTCCTCTGTAATTCAGAGAAAAGCAAGCAATTTGGAAAATTAGTAGGCACAACATTAAAAATATTATTAGGAAGGCAGGAATGCATATTTGGAGTTAGTTAGTGGAAGGCATAAAAGGAATGGAGTAAGAGAATTTGGGATGAACAATTTTTTAGAATTAGTTTGTGGGAGAGAACAAGGCTCGTGAACTTTTCAGAAACTTGCAATTTTCTTTCTATATATCAAGAAAAAAAGAGGAAAGCACTCCACTAGCAGGCAACAGTTTAAACTAAAGATTGCTCGAGTATAAATCTCAGAGAAAATAGAATGAATTCTTACAAATAATATCCCTCATCAGGTCGTATTGACACCTCAAAGTTCATGAGGTCATCCTTGCCATTGGGAAAGGTTATGTTACATGATTTCGGTAGATTCAGCTCACTAATATCTGCAACAGATTAGGTACCAACAGTAACTAACTAACAAGGTTTCGATATCGCAAATTAGCAGAGACACATAAGCTGACAATCAACTCCAACTGAATAAACAGACTTCAGGGCAATATGCTGGAGTATGACTCTTATCAAATGCAATTGGAGAAACCATCTAAATAAAGAATCGCATGTAAATGACAAAAAGGACGTGAAATTTGGATCTCACTCTCAACCAATAAGTCATATGATATATAAGAAGCGGAAAAAATAAAAAAGAAAAATACAAAATAGGCCACTCCAGGGCTTCTAGTGTATGTTTTCTTTCAGCTATTGACAGACTGAGGTTCTTTAGTGCACTAATGACCCCATCATTACTGAATCTGATAAGACAACATCATATAAACGATCACTAACTTTATTAACATCTAAGAAACAGATAATATCTTAGGATGGAACACTTCTTTTCATAACACAAGCAAAATTTCAGTCCTGCTTAAGTCAACCAGTTTAATAACAGTCACTCAATAGAATTGTGACTGTTTGAAAGTTTCAAAAAGGCTCATTTAGAGGAAAAAATCAAAATTCACTTCTAATGACCACCAACTTTTACTTAATGGAAAGGTCGTTTTGTTTTTTTCACTCCCATAACATCACACATCAAGAAAAGGTATTAATTCTTTGCATTAGCATGACCCATGCATCTGAAAAGTTTACACAAGTAACTCCCCATTAGGACAACCTCTCATTTAATTTTCTCCCAGTGCAACGAACATAAAGAACCATTGCAGGTTCACTATCACTTCCAACCAGGCAGGCTTCCACACAATGGTCTTTTTCCAGGATCTCATAAAAGTGGTCTAGCAGAAAGTGAAAAAAAAATGCAACTATGAGCAGCCAAAAGGACAAGCACTCAATTCCCTAGTGAATAACCAGATATCTTCGACTAAATCTCTCTCAAAATTACCTACGAAAATATTTTGTCTAAATGAAAAAATTGAAAGAAATAATCATTGGAAGTAAGCCTAGGAGAATAATACATGAAAATTCTTGTGCACTCAAACATTCCAGTTAACTGCTCGCTACGACAAGCAAATTACAAAAAGTTTGTAAAATACAGACTGGCTATCCATCTTTATATAAACTCAGGATACTCGTGCATCTTAGAACAACGTCAAATAATCATACACTATTGTACGTGCATGGGACTCATTGGGGAAAATGGCATTTGAATAGAAGACTTCCAGTTTGAACAAGAAATCTAAAGCCACTTAATAAAAAAAATAAGGTCTTCAGAAATATGCTAAAGTTCGCAATATATTATCCTATTTAACATCAAATAATGACCATCCATCTCTACATAAACTCAGGACACTCATGCATCGTATAACAACATCAAACAGTAATACGCTATCATAAGTGCATGGGACACATATGGTATTTGAATATAAGACTTCTTATTCGTACATGAAGTCTAAAGCCACTTAATCAAAAAAGAATATGCTAAAGTTTGTAATATATTATACAATTTAACTGGCGTGACAACATACAATACACAAAAAGGAATCTTCAAATGTACTACACAAAATATATTATTGATGTATGGAACCAAATTGAACTAATTTCAAACACTTTCACTTTGTTGCTTCTCAATTAAATATAAAGAACCAGATAAACTCTCTTAATTGCCAAACCTTTGTGAAGACGTAACTCCCCAGCACTTTGCTTCTTTGTAGGTATCCCATTAATAGCATTTTCAGCAAGTTCTCTCTGCTTCTCCTTGACTTTAAATAGCTTAATCATATTCCTGCAGCAGAAATATGCAATTACACCCCATACATATGTTATATTCTCTCAGAAACCAACTTTTGTTAACAAGAATGAAACAACACAAAGATGCCACGAGAAAACAAGGTCAAACCACCCAAGAATAAGACGCTCTCCAGACCTCCTTCAAAAACCATCTTCCATGTGTTGAAAAACCCTTCCGATCCTCTCCAATAAAAAAAAAAAGTTTCACAACACAATCAAGAGAACGGCCTGTGAAAGCGATCTGCATCTCCCACGAAAGAGTGGATGCAACAAAACCTCTTCAAGCAGACGGCATCAGTCGTGGACTCCTGACTAAGAGATCTCAGACAATCCCAAATCCCAATTGACTACAAGATCTCAAACTAAATCTACATGGCAAACGAATAAGGCAAAGAATGAGGTTCCGAACCTCCAAAACCTCTCTACAAAGAACACACCACTTAGAATCGAGGCTACCAACGAAAACCTCCAGACCGAATCGACAAACAAAACATTCGCATCGAAACTGATAATATTATGCACAATCCCAACACTAAAAATTGTCCAAAACAAATAAGCATAATCAAATCTGAATTTAGAGAATGAAAAACAACAAAAGTTCAAACCGGAGCCTCCACAATGACAATGCGATCCCGCGAGTAATCAAATAAGAATTACGTTTCTAATTAACATCGAGCCATCCACAGCCTATATTGCAAAAACCCAATAGACAACCAACCCAAAATTGAATAAACAAAGAAGGCGATATAAACAGCACAAGAAAAAACCTGGGGAGGAAGAAATTGCAAGAACCCCAAAATCGAGAGGGGGAAAAGGGGGATCTAAAGAAGCAAACCTGTGATGTGGTAGCAATACAGAGAAGAGGGAATTTAGGTCTGAGTTGCAGACGCGGGAAAGAAGTAGGAGAGGAAGAAGGAGCGATTTGGCGAGCGTGGCTGAGCCCTACGGTCAACAAATAAATACCGCCTTCGATTGGACTGTCAAACAATCCCCGAATTTTTCTTCTGCTTTTTTGTTACGCTGATTTTCCGTTTTTCAATATTATATTATCATTCTCCTTTTTAAAGCAATAATTGGGCTAATTTAAGGGGTTTTTTTTTTTAATTCCCTTGAATTATCGTCTTTATTTGGTTTAATTATTATTTAGATACTAATTGTTAAATTTATTAAACAAAATTTATATTTATGGAAATTTTTTAAAAGTTAATTATTAATTTTGGTAAATAAAATTTATTTTTCTTTTAGCTCTCAATAATTAAAATTTATTTGGTTAAATTTTAATCATGCCTGTAAGCATGTGATTGGACAATGCAATTAACGGCTCCTTCTCTCTCCTTAATTTCTCTGCAAATTAATTTCGGGTACCAAAACACGTAGTCTCTCCGGCGACACGTCCGCCAGCGTCGCTGTCGCCAAGTGCTCGAAGGTCGGACTCGTCTCCACCAATGAGGTCGCATGCGGCGAGACAGAGCACCGGCCGGAGCCGCTTTCCGCCGGCAAGAAGAGAATAACACATGGCCTCGCTAATCCTAGTGGGTCACGCAGCGAAACGGCGTCGTTCAGCTTGATTGACAAAATTAGCCTTCTGCTCCATGTAATCTCTGAAATGGAAGGAGGCTTTTTGGTCACTTTGTTCAACTTGCGGCTGCAGATCTGTAATTTCAAAATTATATTAACTAGTACAAATACTAAAAATAAAAAATAAAAAAAATGAAAAAATGAAAGTTTAAAAAATATATATTATTATTATTATTAATTTGAAAAATAAAGTTGACTGAATTACACAAACATCAAAAACACGTAAATGAATTTTAATAATACACAAACAATTTTTTAATCTATTCTTGACAGCACGTGACACTATCCAAACATTTTTTGACAGGCATTTATGAAGCAAGAAACACGTGGTATATTACTTGTCCTACACTTCTTCCATTGAATTTAAAATTATATAAATTCTGTAAATTGTATTAATCAAAATTACCCACAAAGTAATCACATCTAATAAAATTTATATTTAGTAGGTAATAATCGATAATTTTGTTACCCCATTTCGATTCACGTCATAATTATTAACCTACATAATTTTAAAAGACCAATTTTGTAATATGATACGTTAATAAATTAATAATAATAATAATAATATAAGAAACAGAGAACCCTTTTGACATTTATTTAGTGTCGGCACCGGCGGTCTCTTCAAAAGGATAGGGTTAAGAATGGAGAGTGGTATATATGTGGCGACACGTTTGCGTCAACTCAACCAACTCCCATGCGTTGAATTTCTTTTATTTCTTTTTATTTATTTGGCATTAATTGTATTTAATGATCTGTTGACCATTTTAAAGCCTATCTATGAAATCCCTTCCTTTTGGGGGGCTGGAAATAAAATTCGATTTATTTTTAAAATATATTATCTTTGAAATAAGCTCCAAACTCGCGGAAAATCGTGACGAGAATTTGGAATTTATAAAGGACAAAGTGGGAAATAAAAGAGATAATATTATTAATAATAATTTATTCTTGTTTGTGAGTCAGGTGATATGCATTTAGGATAACGACGCATCTATAGCCAATTAGATTACACGTGTGAAGCGCGTCCAATTAGGAACGAAACGACCACTATGCTTCATATACCTGACTTGCACCTGAACGAACAAATGCCCTTTTTTTTTTTTTTTTTTGCTTATCCTTATCTTAATGTTTAAATCTATAATTTTTCGTACATTTATTATTATTAAAAAAAATTAAATGCGTAAATTTTTATCTAAGGCGGGATAGGATAAAAAAGAATAAAGGAATATCTTTTTAAAAAATATTTTTTCTTTTAAAAAAAAATATTTTTTTTTGGATAATCACGTCGTGTGGATCAAATTTATGACTACGTTTTAGATAATAATATAAATATTTGGATTATGAAAAAGTTAATTATTTATTTAAATTGAAATTAGATAAAATATAGATTTTGGGAAGATTACATCCACCGGGTGCCGCGTACGTGATTTTGATCGTCGGTGAAAAGTGAAAAAAATCAAAATCTCGCGTTTTAATCCAATAGATAATGATAATTATGAAAATAAATAAAACGCGGCGTCCGGTTGCCGGTGAAGGTGCGGGACGGCTATATATATAAAGAAGGGAACGGGAAACTCCAAGTTCATTGCGTGCTCCTGCCTATTGGCTTCTACCACTTTCCAATTCAAATTCGTTTTTGATTCTGCTAATGGCGTCCACGAAAGCCCTAGCGCGCCGCCTCTTCAACGCCTCCAATCGGCTATTCTTCAACACTTCCTCCAATAACCTCCCACTCGATCCCAGAGATCATGGAATATTCCGGCGATTCCTTCATCAGAGGCCCAATTTTTCCCCTCCCTCCACATTCACCCCATCGCTTCCCTCATTGCCGATTGGATTCGGGAATGCCATGGAGCAGCTTGTTTCTCGCGACAGGATTCATCTAGATGGATTGAAGCCGCCAGCGCCGGGTGAATTGGATGGACTCACGGTGGAGGAGACGAGGAAGTTGGTGAGATTGGCGGAGGTGGTTAGAATGAAGAGGAAACTGAAGGACGTTCCGACGAGCCAGATTACGTATCGGGAATTTGTTCGAATTTGTGGTGAAGATTATTCAGATGGAGATGAAGATTATGGCGTTGAATTGGCCAAGAGGCTTGATGAGTCCGGTGCCGTTATCGTTATCGGAAACGTCGTCTTCCTCCATCCCGAACAGGTATTTCAAAAATACTCTTACAGTTAAGTTTAAAAAAAGAAACTTTGACAAACCCTTTTGACTTTTTTGTTTCCAGATCGCAAAATCAATCGGTTGCTTGATTCCAACGCTAGGAATGAACAGCGAAGACCCAATAAGTAAGAAGGAGCTAGAAGAATTGGAGAAAGAGAAGGCGATGATCGACGGGAAGGCCGGGCGCCAAGTCCGCCGCGAGCTGCGGTGGGGGCTAGGGTTTCTGGTGGCTCAAACGGTGGCGCTGATGAGGCTGACATTTTGGGAACTGAGTTGGGACGTGATGGAACCCATATGCTACTTCATAACGTCCACATATTTCATGGGTGGGTACGCCTTCTTTTTGACCACTTCCAGAGAGCCTTCTTTTGAAGGTATCTACCAAAGCCGCTTCGTCGCCAAGCAGAAGAATCTGATGAAGCTCCACAATTTTGATGTCCATAAATACAATCGCCTCCGTAGTGATTCAAATCCTCAAATTGCATAAGGGGTATACAGAAGATGACCATTTTTGTCACTTTTCACATGAGTTCCACCCATTCTTAAATGTAAAAATACTTACTTTTAGGTTTAATCCTCTCTAATTTTACCATTCTATTCTAATTTTTTTCTTTTCAAGTACTACAAGATTCTTAAGGTGGATGCATTGTAATTTATGATATATACAAAATTATGAACATGAATTAAAAAAAAAAACAATTTAATATAGGTGCACAAAAAGTGGTTTAAATTAAATATTTATTATGAGAGTGAAAGGGTCATTCAACCTACCTCCTCATCGTCACCCATGACATATTTTTATTCAAATAACTTTTAATTTCTTTTGATTTTTACTTTTTTAAAGATGAAATATATGTTATTTCCACTTAAATTGCTGTACCTAACACCATTTGTTTTAATAGATTTGTGGATTTTATTTTTAAGGAAGCCTCCACCATTAAATATTTAAATTATAAACATATTAAATGCTCCTCTCATAATTCATGCATTAAAATTTGTTTAATATTCAAATTCTAAATGAAAGGGTTGTCGTGGAAAAGGGATTTGATTGTGATGAATTATAAATATCAATTTTTATTTATTACCTAATTACCATTCAAAATTCTACGTGGTTTTTTTTTTTTTTTATTAATCCTATGTTAATAATTACCTCTTCACAAAACCAAAATTCCAGAGCTTTGTTGTTTCAATTTTTGTCTCAGCTTCAAACCAGCGCCACCAAAATCAAGAATATTGAGTAAATTATTTTCCTCACACTCTCCAATACATCAATTTCAATTTCAATACCTTCCCATCTGAATCCACCGTTCCTTTTCAAAATTCGAAATGGAAACCGATCAGTGATTCTTCTCTTTCAATTGATTCTCTAAATTCCCTGAAGAACAGGGGTGGTGTTTGATGATCTTCACTGATTCCTGCGTCTTACCCAGATGAATTTTGAGATAGAAGTTCAAGAAAAGCAGCAAAATGGCACCGTTGAGCACAGAATTGAAAACCCAAGCCCCAATTCCGTTGCACCCACCTTTCATGAAGTGCAGCATCAACACCCCCACATGGCAGGCTAAATTGCAACCCAACAGAACGAATTGACAGTTTACCACAAAAGGGAAACAGGCTCTTCGTAATCCAATGGCCGTCCAGAATCTATACCCGTAAACCACCGCGTACACGAGCGAGGTCGAGAGAATAGCCAAAACCTGAAACGACTGCGAAAATTCGAGCCACAGAAAGGACATAAACGTCGAAATCGAGTGGTTGAAGAGCTGGAAGGAGGACAGTCTCCGATGGCCAAAAATGGTGAAAATGGTTCGGAACATATGGAAGAATCGGGATAAGTAGTAGATGTACGACCAGAAGAACACCCGTCCAGACGGCCGAGTGCCTAAGGGGAAACAGAGGAGCCACTGGAAGGGGGTTTTCGATCGCCGCCAGAACCACCGGGTGTCGCGGATCTCGGCGACGGAGGAGAGGAGGATGCCGGCGGAGATGAGGGTGGAGATTAGGGCCATGGAGAGGCAATGAATGGCTGGAATGGGGCCGAGCGGGACAGTGCGGTCGGGGCTAAGGAGGAGGCTGAGGAAGAGGTGTACGGCGACGGCGAAGGCAAGGTAAAAGGCTATGGAAGAGAACAGGAACGACCAAGTGGAACCCCATGAATGAGTGTGGCTCCATCGGAATCCGACGATGGAGGGGTGCTCCGACAGCCAGTAGACCAAGTCGTGGATCAACATGATACCGGCCTGAATCGCCGTCGACGTTGAGAGGAAACGATCAGACGGCGGAGGGCGGGATTTACGTCCAAGTCATGGAAAAGCCATAGAATGGCGAAATCGGAGCACAATTGGAGAAGGGGGAACGGTAATTTGTGGACGAAGTAGAAAATTTGGGCTGTTTTTTAGGGGAAATAGACTCTTTTTTCTTTTTCTTTTTTTTTGAATTAATTTATTTTACCTTTCACACGTGTGTGCCTCTCTAGCCCGTGATGTCATATCTCCCTTTTAAGTAAATTATACAGATAACAAAATTTATTATTATTATTTATTAAAATACCATTTTAGTGTATAAATTAAAAGGATAAATGAGATAATTTATGATCTTATTAATCAAATTTACGTGATTATTTAAAAAAAAAAAACTATTTTAAGCGTTATTTAATATAAATAATTAAAAACTACAAGCAGATCTCCACCCTTATTATTATTATTATTTCCAAATACATTAATTACGAAATATCCTAATTAATACTATCAACAGTTACATATAAACTCCCTTTTTCATTATTATTTTTTATTTCTTTTAACTTTATAGTGTATAACAAATTTGATTATATACTTTTAAAATTTTACTTAACAAAAAGTTGATGGAGTGATTAAAAGAATAAATAGTATGATTATATTAAAATTAATTATTAAAATATCGAATTTTGATGGTTTTGGATTGATATTAATATTTTATTTCCCTTAGTTGATGAATATCAATTTTTGAAAAAGTCAATGCATTCTATTAAGTATTGAAAAAATAAGAAAGTTTTTTGTTTTGTTTTGGTAATTCAACTTTCAAAATCTAATTTTAATCCTTAAATCTTTTAAAAAATAATATTTTTGATAGATTAATTTATTAAAATAGAAATTAAAATAAGGGTCAAAACGCAGCGTTTTATCTCAATTCATAAGAGAGAGAAAAGATGTGATGGTGGAGTACAAGTGGATCAAACTCGATCGAACGGCCTAAATTATCCGTCGACTTAAGAAATTAAATAATGATTTTAAAATGAATAAAAATTACATAAACAAAGCCCTTGAACCCTTCGTATCGTCTTCTTCTTCCTCCGATTGTCCTTCTCTTCTATGGTTTTCTGTAATTTCTAGGCCCGTTGCTCCTGATTTCACAGATTCCTTCCTCCACTAATATCACCGATTTTCTTCCTCCTCGTTTTAGGAATCTGCTTTCCACCATTTCTGATTTCGTTCCTCTGAAGGTTTGTACACTTTCTTCCTCTCTATTTGCGTTGATTTTCTCTTGTTTTTCTTCAATCTACGTCTTCCCTCTGTTTTCCCCCTTTTTGCATCGCTGTGTTGTTGGTGTCAATTCGGTTACACTTTGCGTGTTCGGTGTGGAGTCCAAAATTGGGGGTTTCTTCTTGTCTGTCATTTTGCATGGTTTTGGATCACGATCCCCTGATTTATTTCTTTTATCGATTTTAATAAGCATCTGTTTTGCGATTTTAGTTAGTTCTGATGCTTTTGACTTTGATAGGATTGTATGAGGTTGTTGAATCTTATTCTGATTTTGTTTGTTTCGTGATTTCTGGTGAATATAGCTGCTGATATTTGGGGGGGAAATTAAGATGGCGAATGAGTTTGGGGAATCAACAAGTGTGCCACATCAAAACCCTTCTTGGTCCAGTAATAGTGACAACACTAACAATGATACTGGCGATTTTGAATGCAATATCTGCTTCGAGTTAGCTCAAGACCCAATTATCACTCTTTGCGGCCATCTCTTTTGCTGGCCCTGTCTGTATAGATGGCTGCATCATCACTCGCAATGTCAAGAATGTCCTGTTTGTAAGGCTCTTGTTCAGGAGGAGAAGTTGGTTCCTCTTTATGGTAGGGGTAAAGCACCATCTGACCCAAGATTAAATAGATATCCTGGTATTGATATTCCAAATCGCCCTGCCGGGCAAAGGCCTCAAACAGCACCACCCCCTGCAGCTAATGACTTTGCAAACTACGGGTTTGGATTCACTGGTGGCTTTATGCCAATGGCGGCAGCAAGGATTGGGAACTTCACTTTAGCTACTGCTTTTGGTGGTCTGATCCCATCTTTATTCAACATCCAGTTTCATGGATTTCCTGATGCTACAGTGTATGGAACCACCTCTGGTTACCCCTATGCATTCAACACATTCCATGGGGGTCATGGTCACCATTTTCCACAGCCACCGAGTCGAGGTCAGCATGCTGATAACGTACTGAAAAATCTCTTTTTACTCGTCGGCGTCTTTGTAATTCTTGCCTTGCTTTGGTGGTGAAAATAGCACAAGTGTAGAGATTTCATTTACTGCTTATGAAGTGAAGTAGTTTAGCTAATACTGCGATTTTATATATATATGTATGGTTGATAGTAGTACACTTACTGTGAGGTTCCCATTGATTCATGTTGTTTCGCATCCCAAAGGACTTCTGGATGTTTCTTTCTCTTGCACAGACCAGCCCATGTTCACTTCTTTACCCCACCAACAGAAATAAAGATCAGCTCTAATTTGTTTCAGCTAAGATTTCCCATGTATGATCCACTGATTATTGATCTTGCCCATCAAATTTCTTCATCTCAGCTTCAAAACCACACTGAAATTATTGATTTTTTTTTTATTGAAAAGAATTTCTTTAGTTCCAAGTTTATTTGGCAGCCTGCTGATACTGTTAGACATGGCTGTGCCCCTTCTACTGAATTTGTGGTTGGATGGATCTACTTTTAACCTACTGTAAGTTCAGCCTGCTGTTCACTTTTGGAGTGTTTCTTGATTGCGTAGTTAGTTTCTGATCAACTTTATTTGGTTAGGTTTGTTTTTCGTTGTGTTATACTAAATGCTTGATTTGCTTTCCTAGAACTACATTTGAAATGAGAGAAATTTATTGAACATAGTCACGGTCGGTTCTCGGCAATAGGAGATGAACGTATTGGAGATTGGTTGGGCTCGTGTGAACTTGAAATTTAACCCATATCTTATAGATTCTTAAACGCTCACTTCTGTAGTTTCGGGTTCATAATATTTGTTAGATAAAGTGTAGGGATATAATAGACACGAACATGAAAGAAAGTTTATATATCGATGGTCAATGGCGACGAAATTAATTAATTTTTCTTGTTGGATTTTGACCTAGACCTTTCTTTATATTTACCCAAATTGAAAGTATACCTTTCTTTACTTTGACCATTACTTGTTTCCCCTGGTCAATAACTTTACTTTAATTAGTATATTTTTAACCCAATAGTTTCAATCATAAATTAAATTTTCTAATTTTTTAAATACGATTAGCTCTTGAACTAGAATAATCCTATATTCTATTCTACTCCCCTC